ATTGTGGGGCTGGTGCGGGATCGGGCAGTGTTTCGTTCTGCTGTGCATGGGGTCGCTATGAGTCGGAAACGACTCGACAGCACTTAACAACAACAACAACAATAGGGTTGCTAGGAGTTCTGGTAGCACAGTGCCTAAGGCACTTGGCTGCTAAACCAGAAGGCTGGCAGTTCAAACCCACCAGCCACTCCTTGGAAGGCAGGTTGGGCAATCTACTTCCATAGTTATACCGCCTCGGAAACCCAAGGAGGGGTCGCTGTGGGTCGGGTCCGACTCGATGGCACATAACAACAACAACATAGGGTTGCTAGGAGCTCTGGGAGCATAGTGCCCAAGGCACTTGACTGCTAACCAGAAGGCTGGCAGTTCAAACCCACCAGCCACTCCTCAGAAGAAAGGTTGGACAATCTACTTCCGTAGCGATATTGTCTTGGAAACCGAAGGAGGGGTTGCTATGAGTCAGGTCTGACTCAACGGCACATAACAACAACAACATAGGTTGCTCTGAGTTGGAATCAACTTGATAGCACTGTTTCAGTTTCTTAGGCAAGTGATCATTAAACTACACCAAACTGTCTTTTGTTCTATGGCCAATGTCTCCAGTTCTGAAATAGGATAAATGAAAAAATAATCCAGTATATACATTTCTATATGTCCCTTCTAAAATACCATAATTTTAAGGACAGCATAAAATTTTCCATAGTGCTCAGAACATTTTAAATACAGTACAATTTGCTTTTATACACTAGAGTTACATCTTTGCTTTAGTATTTAGGAGAAACCTTTTACTGCAGATGTGGATGATACATTTTACTCTCACAGGATAACCAAAATAAAGGAAGGATGGAGGGGGCACCTGATCCAAACATGAACCCCACCCCAGTGTTCATATATACCTGTTATAGCATTTTGTTTGGAGCCAGGTTTGGCATGGATGGCTATGGTGACACAACCTTTAGGATCAACTGCCACAGGACCTAAGGAAGGAAGTAGTGTCGCCGGTTCCTTGCTCTGGCTTTTACCCTAAAACGACAACAACCACATTACAACCTTACAGTTACAAGATATTTTCCGATACTTTTAATGTGATTCTTCCACTATTCCCCTTCACTCTGACCAGGACAAACTAGGCTAATCAGTTGTGTCCAGGGATTTCTGGGAAAGTCACCATGAACTGGAAACAACTCCACAACAGGTGATTTGGTTTTAGAATGCTTGTCAGTCCTTCAAAGCTCAAAGCAATTCTTCCATGAAGTTTTCCCATCACCCCCACAAAGTGCTTTTTCCTGCCTTGAAAGACCTGATTCTGGCTTCCACATTTTAGGTCTGGTTCCTACCATCTACACTGTAGTTCCAATTCTTCAGGACAGGGACTATTTAAATTCATCTTTGTGTCCCATGCAGCAGAGCTAATAAATGTTTATGAACAACTAAGGCTGGAAGTGGTTATGTGTGTGTGTTTCAGGAGTAAGAGAAAGGGACAACAGTGACTGGTATCTATTACACAGTGACTGATATTTAAATGTGACAAGGAGCTCTAGTGGCTCAGTGGTTAAAGCATTCGGCTGCTAACAAAAATGTCAGGTGGTTCCAACCCACCAGCTGCTCAGCAGGAGAAAGATGAGGCAGTCTGCTTCCCTAAAGATTTATAGCCTTGGAAACCCTATGGAGCAGGCCTTCTACTGTGTCCTGTTGGGTCGCTATGAGTTGGAATCCGACTTGATGATGGCAGTGGGTTTGGATTTTGTGGTATGTGACAAGTTATGCTAGGAATTCCAATTCATTCAACAAATATTAAGCTCTGGGGCTGTTAAGCAATGAACACAAGCAAATAAAACAACACAGTTCTTCCTTAAAGGGCCTCGAACTGCAGCCAGGGAAAAAGTACAATTATAAAACACTGTGCTCAGTGAATCAGTAAGAGACACACACGGGATATTACTCCAGAGAAAGCCATCCAGCCTTGGGAGAAACCGGGAAAGCTGCCAGCAGAAGGCAATGCTTGAGTTGAATCTTAGAAACCCGGCAAGCTTTAGCCAAGCAAAGATGGTAGAAGGAAAGTAAGAGTGGTGTATTCTTGACAGAAAGGATGCTACTTGCGAAGCTAGGATGCCTCCAAAGGAAGCATAGGCTGTAGGGCGCTGCTGGAACATGAAACGCTAGATAAGGCCGGAGACCTCGGTCGGTAGACCCAGCTCTGGAAGAACGTCGTGTCCCCCCGCCAAGGCTAACTTCTTAATCCTACAGCACAGACGCCTGGAGAGTTGGGCAACCGGGCGGATGGCGGCGCCGCCTAGTGAGGCGGAGAGAAGACACCAGGAGCCGCAAATCCAGCCGGCTGTTCTGGGCCCCGGGACCGAGTGACAACAAACTGTTGGCAGTAGTTTCCACCCCCTCGTTCACTGCGCCCCGCCAGGCCCAAGCCTCGCGGGGTTCGCTTCTCCTCCCCTAGCGCTCCTCAAAGAACATCCCTGCGCCCCACCCTCTAACTGCCACAGGACTTTTCACTGGCCTTATTCGTCGCCTTCTTAGGCATCCTGGAGCCAAAAGAGAGCCAAACAGAATCCTGAGCTCTAAGAGCTGCCCTGAGCTGCCGGAGCCCGGTGCTGACCCTCAGCATCCCGGTGTGAGGAGGGACAATAAAAGGCTGCACGGCGCCGGAAGAGCCCTCTGCGCCTGCGCACGCAAAGGGAAAGAGCAGCCCCACTGCCTTCACGCACCTCCTCCGCCCTAGAGCGACATCTACAGGCCGGTAGGAACGAGTCTCGTCCTTCCAGAACCTACGAGTGGTCCCCTTTCGCACTGGATAGTGGCCAAGAAAGAGATGGAGAAACGGTGACCTAGTAGGGTCTTCTTACCATGTCGTGAATCCCACTTCAACTTTGGGGAAGTTGTATCACCTCTGGTCTTCTGTTTCCTTACTGGAAGATAACAAAAGAAGGTATTGTCACTTCTTCTATACTATTCCACAGGATTTGAGTCACCAGCATGGAGATGTGTGCAGAACCAGATATTTTCTCTCTCCTTCTTCGGCAGAGGGAGCCCCACGCTGCTTCCTGTGGCCCACAGGTGGATGTAAAGTCTAGTGCTGAATTAGCCCTTGTGTATATTTAATGTATTGATGGACCACCTACTTACCAGAGCCAAAATGTGACCTTGAGCATATCCCATTTGACTTTAGAGACCATCTGAAGAATAGATATGATGCACTGAACACTAGTGACCAGAGAACAGACGAGTTGTGGGATGACATCAAGGACATCAAACATGAAGAAAGCAAAACGTTATTTAAAAGACAGAAAGGAAGAGGAGACCAAAATGGATGTCAGAAGGTCTCCGAAACTTGCTCTTGAAATGAGAGTAGCTAAAGTGAATGGAAGCAATAATGATGATGTAAAAGATCTGAACAGAAGATTTCAAAGGGCAGCAGAGAAGAAAAAGTATTATATAATGAAATATGTAATGACCTGGAGTTGGAAAAGCAAAGGGGAAGAACATGCTCAGCATTTCTCAAGCTGAAAGAACTGAAGAAAAAAAATTCAAGCGTTGAGTTGCAATACTGAAGGTTTCTATGGACAAAATACTGAATTATGGCAGCAAGCATCAAAAAGAGATGGAAGGAGTACAGAGTCACTGTACTAAAAATAAGTGGTCAATATTGAGCCGTTTCAGGAAGTAGCATATGATCAAGAACCACTGGCATTAAAAGGAGTCCAAGCTGCACTGAAGGAATTGGTGAAAAAACAAGGCTCCAGGAATTGATGGAATACCCATTGAGATGTTTCAACAAACTGATACAGCATCGGAGGTGCTTATTGGTTTATGCCCCCCAAAATTGAAAGACAGCTACCTGGCCAGCCAACAGGAGGAGATCCATATCTGTGCCAATACCAAAGAAAGGTGATCCAACAGAATGTGGAAATTATTTTTAAAATGCCATTATTATCACAGTAAGTAAGTTTTGCTGAAGATAATTTTTAAATGGTTGTAGCAGTACATCAGCAGGGAACTGCCAGAAATTATAGTTGGATTCAGAAGAGGGCATAAATGAGAGATATATCATTGTTGATATCTAATGGATCTTGCCTGAAAGCAAAGAATACCCAAAACATTATCTGTGTTGAACTGACTGTGGAAAGGCTTTTGACTGTGTGTGTTCTGCTTACATAGTGCAGCTCTGACAAGAATATACCACAAATGGGATGGCTTGAACAAACAGGAGTTTATTCTCTTACAGTTTGGAGGCTTTAAGTCCAAGTTCAAAGTGCCAGGCTCTAGGGGCTGGGTGAAAGCCCCTCAACCTTGGGCTTCAGCTCTGCCTCCTGCTCTCAGTCCACTGAAGCTAGAGGCTTTTCTTCAGACAGCTGCTAGCTGCTGAGGCTGCAGCCCAACATTGACAAGTAAAAAGGCACAGTCCTGATGTTACCAAACCACACGGCAGGCCATTAATTCAAGTCCATTTAAAGTCCCAAGGTTGGCAGAGCATGGCAGGCTGCTGAACAATGACATAGCTACATGCAGGGTTCAAGCACATCATAAGCTAGAGACCATTCCCTAAGGCTTCTCCTTATATACAGGAAGCAGACCACATCCCTAGGTCAGCCACTCACAGTAGATTCCACCATGGAGTTGATTACCAGTCTCATCATGGGGAATACTACATCCAGCTGCCCAGCCACTCAACCAGGCCCAGCCAAGCTGACACAGAAACTTAACTACCATAGTGTGGATCATAAAAAAAAATTATAACATTGTGATGAATGAGATTTCATAATACTTAATTGTGCTCATGAGGAACCTGTACATAGAACAAGAGGCAGTTTAAACAGAACAAAAGGGTACTGTATGGTTTAAAATCAGGAAAGGTGTGCATCACGGTTGTATCCTCTTACCATACTTATTCAATTTGCATGCTGAGCAAATAATTTGAGAAGCTGGACTATATGAAGAAGAATGTAGCATTAGGATTGGAGAAAAATCTCATTTACAATCTGCAATATGCAGATTACACTACCTTGTTTGCTGAAAATGAAGATGATCTGAAGCACTTACTGATGAAGATTAAAAGCTGCAGCTTTCAATATGGATTACACCTCAACATAAAACAAAAATCCTCACAACTGGCCCAGTAAGCAACATTATAAATGGAGAAAAGATTGAAGTTGTGAAGGATTTACTTTTACTTGGATCCACAATCAACACCCATGAAAGCAGCAGTCAAGAAATCAACTAATGTATTGCACTGGGCAAATCTGCTGCAAAATACCTTTTTACAATATTAAAGAGCAGAGATGACACTTTGAAGACTAAGGTGCACTTGACCCAAGCCATGGTCTTTTCAATAGCCTTATATGCATGTGAAAGCTGGACAATGAATAAGAAAAACTGCAGAAGAATTGATGCATTTGAATTGGGGTATTGGAAAAGAATATTGAATGTGCCATGGACTGGTAGAATGAACAAGTCTGTCTTGGAGGAAGTACAGTCGGAATGCCCTTAGAAGAAAGAATGGCCAGACTTCATCTCTTGTACTTTGTGTTGTTAGAAGGGACCGGGCTTGGTAGAGAGTCAGCACAAAGGAGGAAGACCCTCAACGAGATAAATTGACACAGTGGCTGCAGTGATGGGCTCAAACATATCAACAATTGTGAAAATGATGCAGGACTGGGCAGTGTTTCTTTCTGTTGTACATAGGGCCACTATGAGTCAGAACCAACTTGATAGCACCTGACAACTATTTACCTTGTGCCATGTACTGAGGATCTCACAGTGTAAAAGGAATGGAAATACACTATGACCTGTGATGTTGTGAAAAATGAAGCTAGAGAAGTCAGCAGAGGCAAGATTTTGGAGTCACTGAAGGGTTTGGAGCAAAGGATTGGCATGCTCCAATTTGTTGAGTTTTAGAAAGATCATTGACTTAGTATGACCAACAGAGGAAAAATTGGAAGTAGGGAGATCTGCCACTTAATGGGAGATGGTGGCCCAAACCAGAGTAGTAGCAGCGGGGCTGGAGAAAGGGTCATTTCAAGGATATTCTGGAACTGGGATGATCAGATCTTGTGGAATGGCTGGATGTGGGAATAAGACTGCAGAGTCGAGGATGATGCCCAGGTTGGGACCCAAGGAATTGATTTGGGAGCCTGAAGTGATGAGTTGTTATTGACATAATGAGTTTGAGATAATAGTGAGATATCTAAGTAGAAATATTGAGGGAGTAAGTGATTATATGTAACTAAAGCTTGAGAGATTTGGGCTAGTGGTATAGATTTTTGAGTCCTCTTAAAATAGATGGTAACTGAAGCAATGGAAGTGGCTCAGAGTGTAGAGCAGGAGGTCTCAGCATAGAACCAATCCTAAGGGAAAGTAGAGAAGCCACTGTAAGTAGGCAGAGTTAGGAGTGAGATTAAGGCAATCACTGGAGGATGCTTCAAGAGGGAGTAGTGAACAGTGATGAAACCCACAGAGAAGACATTTAAGATGAGGACTGAGGAAGTGCCTTCAGGATTTAGAGGAATTCAGTGGCACAGGGGTTAAGGCATCCCTTTGCTAACCAAAAGGTTCGAAGTTCAAACCCACCAGCTGCTCTGTGGGAGAAAGATGAGGCAGTCTGTTTCCATAAAGATTTACAGCCTTGGAAACCCTATGGGGAAGTTCTACTCTGTTCTAGCAGGTTGCTGTGAGTTGGAATTGACTGAAAGGCAGTACTTTTTGGTGTTGATGACCCTGGCAGCAGCAGTTTCAGTGGCGTGGTGGGAACAGCAACCAGACTAGTGAAGTGGTAAGGTAAACTGGAGAGGAAGAAATGGAGATATAACAAATATACAGAATAATTCAATGAATTCACTGTGAAGGAGTAACTGGTACTGGAGAGGGACGTGACATTAAGGAATTTTTTTTCTTTTTACAAAATTGGATGAGAGTGTTGACAGGAATGTGCTAGAAGAGAGGTTACAGCAGAGGGAGGTTCCTGAGGTGGTGGGAGTCTGAGCATCAGTGGAGAGAATGATCAGTCTACAGGAAAACATAGGCAGACATTCCTTCCTTTATAAGAGGGAAAATTTAGGTATACACGTAGGCACGTTTATAGGCTTGGTGGTAGAAATTGAGTTTCTTTCATTAGCCAAGGGCAAGGAGATGTTAAAGCCTCGAGAGTGGGAGAGATTTGCATAGCCACTCTGAATGACAAATGAGACAAACCACTCTCACTTGGCAGCACTGCTGATCTAGTTGAGGTTGGAGAACATGAAATTATCATGGCTTCAATCTGTATTGTTATATGATTTAAAAAATTTGGGCTCTGCAGACAGGAAATTGAAGAAGGCAAGGCAGACAAGCGGATGGATCTAGAGAGTACAAGAGGAGAATGTTTCTATTCTACAGGTTAAAGTTGATGCCTTTGAATTGTGATGCTGGCGAAGAATATTGAAAATACCATAGACTGCCAGAAGAACAAAGAAATCTGTCCAGGAAGAAGTGCAGTTGGAATGCTCCTTAGAGGTGAGACTCGCCAGACCTGCTTTTGGCATGTCAGAAGGTACCATTCCCTGGAGAAGGATATCATGCTTGGTACACAGCATAGAAGGGGAAGACCTTCAGTGAGATGGACTGACACAGTGG